AAGTTTCATTGCACAATCATTTCACCAACAGTTTGGCACTCTCTAAACTCAGAGGTTGGGTGTAAAGATACCCTGCATGTCACTTGGCAACTAGGACAAGCCACCTGTTGCTTGTGGTTCCTTGCTAGCCTCAGCACTTCCCCTCAGGTTACTGCTAGACGAGCGTATGGGGCTTTACAGGTGGTACGCGGCTTTCACGTAGCACAAAGAGATGCACTATGTTGTTCAAGAGCAGGGATTTTTGAACAGGGTCTTGTGCACTGCCGACCTGGTTTGTGCAGTGAAGGGGATTACCATCCGCTATGGGAAATGGCCTAGCCACCGTTTCTCTTGATTTTACACCTGATGAAAGGCGAAATGTTTTTAGTGTTGTGTTACATGTAGTTTGATCTGTGGTTTTTCTTGTTTGCATGTAAACTGATCACGAATTTTGCCATATTGCCTCATCATTTCCTATGCCAGCAGTTGCCCATGCGGTCTTAATGTCTTACTTGCCCTGAGTCATCACCCCCACACACATGCCCATGTGCGTACTCAACACAACTTTCTCCGTGACATTTGGTGCGTGTGGCATTTCACAGTCTGATGAGGTGAGTGTATGCACCAGCTATGCCTCAGGGCACAGAACGCCTGCCAGAGGGCAGTTTCCATCCGGATGTGCTGTGGCATTAGAAAGGAGCTGGCCCTTAGCTCCTTCTTTTATGCATCACACATATTTCATCTTCTTGTGCCCAAGGCTTCGGAGCATATTTTGCAAAGCATGACTGCTAGGATAAGATGTGGCTCCTAAAAGGTTCGTGGCCCCTAAAAGTAGCACTGGCACTGGCATTGGCACTGGTGGACTTCCTTAGCATGTTTGTGTGTGTGGACAATGTATGCAGGCTCAGCAGCTGTGTGTCTGAGCTCTGTTCAGTCAGCTGGGAAGAAATGAAGCCCAGCCTAGATCTGAGAATGTGAGAACTCCACACAGTAGCAAAATCTAGGCAAGGATTAATTGTAGCCCTCTGCCAAGTGGTGCTGGTTTTGTGATGATGAAAAGTGTAATGTGAGCTGAAAATATACAAGCTTCCTTGTTTGTCAAAAGTTTTATCCTAATTCAGCTTTGGTTTAGTGTTTCTGACTGGAAGTTTTAAGGAGTCTGCCCTTTCATGCAGAAAAACTTGTCACTGCTGGGTGAGTAGGATTTCTTATTCAGTCATTATTTAAAGGAAGAAAAACGTGGGAGGGGGAAACACCTTCAGGCCTGTTAGGCATTTTGGGCAATATTTTTTCTTCTTGGATTTTTACCTGCTTTATTTATTTATTGCACTTTTAAACAGCACAATAACTGAAGTTCCCTGAATGGTGTACATTAAAACATTAAGTACAAATATCAAAACAAAACTAAAACAGCCCACAATAAACCAAAAACAGAAAAGGCAGCAAATAATAAAAGCTCAACTATTTTTATTCCTACTTTCTTGTCTCTGAAAAAGTCTGCATCACTCTTTGACATTATCCTTCTGCTTAACTTAGAGCACTCTGAATGTAAATGTATTATCAAAAGGAACAAAGGGTTTTGCAGTAATTACTGGCTACATTCATTGCTGTGAGGATGACAAATTGTGTTCTTAGTTTGCCTTGAGGGGGCCCACAGAGTAGAGATTCCTTGGCAGGTAGTATGTCTAGCAAGAAGGTTCGAAGCAGGAATTGGTGGTACTGCTATACAGCTCATCATTGAATTCTGCATCGATGGGACAGTGTTAATTGTTATTTTTACTCATTAGTTGGGTTTCATGTGTTTATATTATTGATATTTTGAATGGTATGTACTTGTATTTCAGATCTTTGCATTTATGTTTTTGTTTTTTCTCTGTATTTAAAAAAATTCTGCATTGATGGGTCAAGCTATGCTGTTGTCAGTCTTACGACAGTTCTTAGAGAAGTGTCTCATACTTGGGCAACCAGGGATTTACTCTAGTAGATGCTACTTATTGCTGATTGTAATTAAAAGTGAAAGGTGGTGGAAGTATTAAACTAGACACTGGGCTGATTACCTTCGATTAATTGTTGTTCTGATCCATTTCAGTACTTTAAAGCAGCCTCATCTGTTCTATTAGTATTTAAAGCAAAGGTAAAGCTTCACTTTTCAACAGGGATTCAGAAAGGATTAATTTTAGGGGGAGCAGGAAAACATACATGTATATACAATCTATACCCTACCAGAGTAAATATGTACATACATCAGCTATTTTTAATTCCCACTTGGGAAATAGATCTTTGCTTTTGACATCTGTCACAGGTAACTGTATCAATGGAATAGCTTGCACTTTTGCATGTTCTCAAGGTGATAGAACAAGTGAGGGCATTGTTAAAACATGTAAGTCCAAGCCTCTTGCAGGATCTTGCTACAAACAGGGTAAATGAACTGCCATTCGGAAGCTTACCTTTTGACAGCTGTCCAGTGTAGTCAGATGGGAAAACAAACTTACCTGCAGCCTTTCGTGGGGGGGGGGGGCAATACACTGGGTGGGTGCCTGATGTATTGCTGTCTGTGACATCTGAAACCAGAACTGTGGATTTTTGAGTGAGAGATAATCCATAGTTAGAACCCATGGTTTGCTGTTGGATTCTAAGTCTGAGTAGTTGCCCCCTCAGCAACCCACAACCCTGAGTCTGGATATCACAGACAGAGTGCCCTGGGTTATTTTCTTCCACCTTTGTGTAGCCCGAGTGATCAAGTATGCTTACTCATTCTGCTTCCTTCACAGCAACTCGAGATTCAGTTGTGATGTGTGAACTGAATAATCCAAAAACATACAGAAAAAGAGCTGGCGAGGAGGCTGTTCATGGCTACTAGTCCTGATCTGGTGGCTGTATGCTTCTTCCAAATCGGAGGCATACGCTTTCATATACCAGTGGCCAGGAGGGTGCCGTGTGCGAGTTTCCATAGGCAGCTGATTGCCCCAGGGCGACTAGAATGCCGGACGTCACGGACCCTTCCTTTGATCCCAGAAGGCTCTTCTTATGTTCGTATGCTAATAAGAGCAATGCTCCTTTGATTTCCACTTGCTGGCTTTCTGCTGGCAGAGATACAGCGCCCAAGTGATCCTCACCCCGCACTGCTCTATTTGTAATGAAATGATGGTGCAGTTGGTCTTGTCACAGGACAGTTAAAGGAAGGCGGCATTTTGTTCCCTGACCGTGTCGTTTCTAAGAATAGATATGAACGGATGACTGTTTGGGCTAATGAGATGCACTTGATAGGCATTGGAAATCTGAGTTGTATATGAATAACCACAAATGATCCCACCCCCTGCATTTCACGTATTATGAATGGAGAATCTTAGTATCCCGTAGGAAGTTTTTCTGAGTTGCATTATCCTGAAAGAGTTTCCTGGGTTGAGTTTCAGGAGTTTCCTGTGTGGTGTACAGAGTGCCAGGTTTTCTTATCTACCAGCTATGGAGTCTTGCTCATTTCTTGTCTTCTAAGAGTTCTGTGAGAAGACATATTTTCTAGTGGTTGTGCTGGGTGAGAGAACTGACCAGTTCACAAGTAATCTGACCTGAGACTATGGGTATTGTTTCTGAACCCCTTCTAGAGAGCTTGTATAGTGTGCTTCTGAATGACCCATGAAGTCCTTGCTTTGAATTGCAGCTCTGCCAACCCATCTTAGCAGTATGGGGCTAAAAATATTGACCTGACTGAGGGTTGCTGTAAGTATTTTGAGAACAGTGGGGTGCTTTTAATACCCCAAAGGTTCATTTTGCTTGCTTCACTCTCCAGTGATTGGGTTTTGCCTCCTTATAGGTGAGTAGCAATTTGCATTTGCAGGGAAGAACTTCACAAGTGCACTAATGCCAAAAGAAAGGCAATGGGTCTCAGTCTAGCCAGGTAGTCCCATCCTGGAAATCTTTACCCTAATTCCTGATGCATTGACTGTAACTTGTGTTTGCTCAGAAGCAAGGAAAAAGTGTACTGCATACTTCCCCTTCTTTTTAATCCCTACCTTTCCTTAAGGGGATTTAAGGTGGTCTACATGGACCTCCAGACCCTCAACACAACAACCTTGAGGCAGGGAGGGTTGTATATTTCTGCAAACATGTGTGAATGTGTGAGAGAGAGAGATTGAGAGAGAGAGAGAAACATAAGGTCATCTCCATGCTTCGATGCTGAGCAAAGAGCTAAAGGTTGGTCTTTGAAATATGCTGGATGGGGATTATGGGAGTTGCAGTCTGATATATCTGGAAGCCAGCAGGTTTGGGCTTGCTGCTCCATCTATTACATTAAGAGTTTTCAAAGGTAGTTTTCATTTGTTCTTACTGAGCCTCAACTCAAACCTACTCCATTATTCCTTCCTTTTAGGATCTTCCTTTACAAACCCTCATATGTTTTGCATAAGGAGGCAATGGCGGCCTGCACACATCCTGGCATTTCTGTGAATTTATTCTTTTTCTCTAGTGAGAGGGAAACCAGTTTCCCAGGGACTTTGTGTTATGGAAGAGATTTGGCCTATTGAAAAGAAGCCGCTTTAAAGATAGCTGTTGGCAGTGCAGGTTTGAACTTTAAGATCTCTTGGGGCGAGTCACAAACTGGGCAGGCCAAAAATGTCTCTCTGGGTCATTTCAAGCTCTCAGGGAAACTTGAATATGCTAAATAGAATTGTTTGTGAATGAGCCAATAGACATGGCTAGGCGGACAGGGTATGGGTAATGTGTGTTTTTTCCCACAAGCGGGAGGAGGGGGTGAATGAGCCAGAAGATATAAGCTCAGACAAAGCCAAGCTGTGTCTCTGAATCGTTCACATACACTGGATAAGAGAGAGAGAGAGAGAGAGAGAGAGAGAGAGAGAGAGAGAGAGAGAGAGAGAGAGAGAGAGAGAGAGAGAGACAGAGAGAGAGAAGTGGAGTCATGATTCTAACAATGGAAACGGGTATGGTTTTATTTTCTCAACCTCTGAACAAGAAATGTGTATCTTTTAAATTCTTCTATTTGTTAAAGTGCTGTAGTATCTCTTTATGGGTTTTTATTCAGTGTACACCTTGTCATGGAAACCCTGTTCAGTGGAGCCTAACTTCCTTTAGAGAAAAGCGCACACGAAGTGAAAATACATTCTTCCGTATCAGCTACTTGGATTGGGATCAAGGACACTTGTGACATGTCCTTTCTGATGCTCCCAGAAGCTGGAGGTGTGGTGATCTTGGGAGGAGTTTAGGAATTGGAATGGGCAATCTTTCATTTCAGTCATGGCATTTATCCATTACACAGAATCATCTGTCCTTACTATTGAGAAGTATAAAGGAAAGAAGCCTTTGGCAATAAGCAAAGTTTAACGACATAAAGTGAAGCCTTGTGGCCGTTGCAATGTTGTTGGCTATCTATACTTTTTTTGTGACTAGCTGCACCATCTCTTTATACTTTGTAAATTGTTTAATTTTGGAATCAGTGAAGATGGAAGTTTATATCCCGAATGGTTTATAGTGGTTTGCTGAAGAATTTCAGGTGCATTGTGCAAAGCCGGAATTTGAAGCTTTACATAAGACTGTCTTCTTTGTTATTGTACAAGCTGTTTTGGTAAAATAGACATGAAACATTCCTCTAACAGCAGTTACTTGCACTATAGCTGTAGAGAAATGTGTGTTTTTGTGGCTGTTTTGAAGGTAGTGGGTTCACACTAAACCGGAGTATCAGTTCTAATGTTCCATATTTTGTTTTCTGTACTTGGAAGTATGTCTGAATTGTAAATCCCAATATGTTCACTGCAGCTTACACCCTAGTAAATGAGCATAGAATTGCACTTCTCAGCTCATGTATTAGAGAGCAAGCTCCATCAAGCTCAATAAGACATTTGACTAAACATAGCATTAACAGGTTTAACCTATTCCCCTTTCCCCACCGAAACCTGGGAACTGTAGTCTGTGTGGGCATGTTGATGCGTGGGGAGGTAATGTTCTTTGTCTGTGGCCTCCCAAACCCACGGTTTCCAGTGTTCTTTGATGGTAGCCATCACTGTTAAACTGATAATAAACAGAAGTATCTGTTCAGGAAAGACATGCCTTGCATTAACACCGCTAACTTGTCATGGAAAACAGATGGTTGACTTTAAATACCAGTGTGACTCTTTCTGAACAAGTACAGTGATTAAGGGAATTCCAGCATGCGAACCATGTATGTCAAGTGCAAGAGGAGCGTGACCCTGTCATTTATGTAGAGTTTGGAGTTGCCCATTATTTGCAAGTGGCTCTCTTTCCCTGTGAAAATGCAGGTTAATGGTAAATGCAGCCTGATTTGTAGAGGCTGAGCCTACTTCTGAACAATAAATGGGAAACAAGATTTTTCTATGTTATTATTGATCAATTGTACTTTAAAATCACCTAATAACTGAAGTGTTTTGTGTGGTGTACAATGCTTGTAACATGCTGCTATTCTTTTATTGTATGTAGCATGCAGGTGCAGGATGATTTGTTTGTTTAGACTCATGTGAGTGATGGCTACTGATTTCCTGCTGTTTATCTGCAATTCATATGAATGAATGTGACTGATGCCCAAATGGTTGGCTGCATTTGGTCCATGCCAGTAAGACATGGAGTCAGATGGAGGCCGCACAAACCTAATGGGGGTGAGCAATGTCAGAAAATGCGTCATGTTTGGCATTTGCGCTCTGGAACCATCTAGTGCAGATGAGGCCTGTAGGTACCACCGGCAGGTGCCAGTCAGACAAGAATTCACTATTGCCTGGTGCCTGTGATGAAGACTTTTGCAGCAGTTGTTTAACATCAAGGATGTGTGATCTTGTGAGAGGTACTTGGAGAAAATACCCAGTCTTTCCTGCTGTCCCTGTCCCTTCCTTTAGCTAGCAACACAGCTTCCATCCTTTGTGCACTCAGCAAATGGCCGGCCGATAAGTCAGCAGGCGGGGGCACCATGTCCACTGACCGCACTGTATACACCTGACTTTTGGTAGCAATGTTACGATTTCTTGACTGCCTGTACCTGAGTGCCTTTAGAACCCTGCAGGCATTCTCCTGACTGGAGTCCACCAACCCAACTTTTCTGCCAACAGCATCTTGTGCACAAGAATTGATCTTTGTAAACCAGGAAGTCTTAAATTGGATAGTATCCACTGTGACACTGCCACAAATGTAAGTTAGGTTGCACTAGTATGAACATGTTCTTCTGAAACTCCAGCAGCACGTGCTGGCATGACAGTTTCCCTGCAAAGCCTGTCATGCCAGAAGGCACCACTGGCTGTGCACTAGAGGTTGTTTACGCTGATGCAACCTCATTTGCATAATGGATAGTGTCAGCAAAGATGCCGCCCATGGAATGGAGAACGATCTCCAGAATCTCCGTTCCTGAACTTCAGCTTCTTGAGATGACTGAAGATGTTAATGCTTTGTACTGCCAAAGGGAGATCTGAAAAAAAGCTATGAAAACCTGAGACCCAAAATGACGTGCGTGTGAAGATTTTCCCCATGTAGAACCTCTCCCGCTGCCTCATGTGGCTGACCTCTGCGAAGCTCTGGCATGCCTCAGTCATGTGAAACAGCTTCTTTCTTATAACTTCTTTACTTCCAGCTCAGTTGGTCATATTTGTTGAAGTAAAGAACAGATTTTGTACAGACCAAGATTTCCTTAAAATCTGAAGTTTTGCTTTACAAAATTTATATGTGGTTGCTCTTTTACAATGCTGTTTATATTTTTAATAAGCTACATTGTACTGCCTTCATAAGGAGCCAACAGCAATCAGCCAGGGGCTTCCATTCCAACAGGAACTCTAAATTATGTTGCTGAGTTTTACTGGAACAAACGTATTTGTCCAATACGTCGAGGAAGCGTTTTATTTTAACCATGACTGCATCACGGCTTTTTATAGCTTTCTCAGTAAATGTATTCCACCTCCTTTAACTACACATAGTAATTAACAGTGCCTAGTGCTTAATTTTTACAACTGTACCTCAGAGTGTGATCATTTGTTTTCCCTGCCACAGTTTATTTGTAGAGTGTAAAGTGGCAAGGACAGCTTGTGGAGGGGTTTATGCAACAGTATTCACCTGTTTATTTACTAAAATAACATAGACTATACAGTGCCACTTTTCCAGAACTATCTTCTTCTGTCCTTTTACCCCCCACCCCATATGACTAAGTGGTTTTTCTTTCCTATATTGTCTTCTGCATACCCTTTTCTTTGCTTGGAAAGTTCAGAAAATTCAAAGAGTAGGACTGAAAATTTTGACAGTGAAACAGGATTTGAAGGAGCTACGGGATGGGCCTGTTGTAACAGCTGAGCTGATCCTTCTGCATTTCAAGAGCTATTTATGGTAGATTAGCTGGTATCAAAGCTCCACTGTTCAGCCCATAAAAGGTTGGTCCTGTGTGAAGTTACCACACTGCATTTGGCTTAGTCCTCTAAGGTTGGGAAGCCTATGGTTGTCTGTGAAAGAATTCCAATGATGGATGGACATGCTGAACTGAGGAATTGTTCTATTGAAGATTTCAGGTGTCAGAGGACAATAAAAATGAGTTTTTTGCCAGTAATGTTTTGGTCCAGTCTTTCAGTCCTTGGAATATAGCTTTTGTACACACACTCTGCTTGGTGTGCACACTCGCTGTTGGAAAGCACCGTTCTAAATTCATCCGGCTCTGAATCATCTTGGCCACAGTTGTACTTGTGAAGCCTGCGTGCTAGTAACTTATGTGATGTGTCACTCCTGTTTTCTTAGCATGTGAATGTTTGTTTTGGAGATAAATTTTAGCTGAAGCAAGGAGCCTCTTCTGAAGTTCAACTTCAACTGTTGGATAGAAGCATTAGGACAGATTTTTTTTTTATTGTGCAAAAACTGTTCCTTTATTTTTCCTGCATTGAAATATCAGGCAAGGATTAAAGCACGCATGCAGAAGGTTTTGAAGTAAGTAACAGCTCTATTACTAGAATGGTTGGCTGCAAAACTTTTCAAAGACAGTTGTTTGAGAATGTTTGAAACTTTGTCAGGTTGGAATGTGACCGAGTCTCCCCCCCTCTCCCCAAGCCTGTGCATGTTAGGCATTCGAGCCATTTTGCATCTTTTTTCTGCCTATGGAGTGAGTTAATTTTGCTGTGGATGAAAAGTTTGCCACTTAATGCCTTCTTGTGTGACCTGTGTGACAATTAAACGCAAATATTTGGGCCTGTACTACACTTGTGATGTACCATGGCACAAATGCTATAGAAAATGTTTTCTGCATGAGGGAAGAGTTATATGATCTTTACTGAATGATGTAAAAGTGATTTTTGAACTGCAAGTAAAATCTTCTCCGGCTGTTGTCCGCTAGGCTAATGTTAGGCCAGCTCTCATATTCTGGCTGTACTTCACTTTTTGGGGTAGGGGCAAAGGAGGTGAGCCCTGAATTGATAACCAGGTGTATTGGAACTAGGAGATGGGGGAGTTAATAACTTTGGAAAATAAAATTCAGGTGGGAAAAATATACCATAGCCTAGCTACAGCTCTCAACGAGCTAGACTTAGCACCTTTTTAGGTGGGCAGGGAGGAAGAGAGGGGAAAGGATCATTAATATATATCCACTTAAATGTTCTATGTTAGTCACATTTGCTTTTTGTAGTAACTGAGAGCCAGCTGTAACCAGCAAGCCCTGAGTTCGAATTTCATCCCAACTACAAGCTCCCTGGATTACCTTAAGCACACTATTATCACAGCCTTAGCAACATTCAGCCACCTTGCAATATGATGGCAATACTGGCCTCCTTTACAGGGCTGTTGTACAGATGTGTGAAGCACTTCTGACATTTTAGATATACCAAATGAATATAAACCAAATAAATACTAAATATTATTCAATGAATGCAAGCTGCTGTTATCACAAACTGATACCAGTTGTAGTCTGGATTAGAAATGGAAATACTCAGGTCTTTAAAAAAAGACTGGTCGAGATGATAATCTCTTTGTAAGGAAGAAAATAGCATTCCAGAGAAGAAACAATATTGTGAACACAAGAAAACTTGAAGCAAAGAAGATACAGGAATTGGGCTGTTTCTCATAGTGAAACTATCTTTAAGCTCTATTCTTGATATGCATTGATCGAGCCTTAATATTCACAAATAAAATCAGGTTTGCTCATATTAAACAATCCACACATGCTTATCCAGGAGGGAATGTTATAGGTGAAGGCAAGAATGTCCTTGTCAATGAGCCGCCTTTAGCATGTGTGCCTAGCAGCATGGAAAACAAGGTAACCTTGCTGGAGCATGAATAAGGTATCCTGGGTGGAGAGAACCCACAGTAAGCCATCCTTTTCTTAGGACTGATGAACATGTGATGAAAAAATGACAAGTGCTTGATTTCTCCAGAAGCCTTTGTCAGCCTAGGTTGTATAAGACAAAGGTGATACAGGAAGAAAAAACCCCAAGAAATAAAGAACGGAAATGTCCAAAGTTGGTCAGATCTTGTGGGCACTATGTCTGCAGTGTAGACTCACATTCCAAAGAGATAGTGCAGGCGGAGTAGTGAATCACTGGTGGGTATTGCAGGTACCAGATAAAATCTCACGGCCGAGCAAGAAAGCAATGATTGACCCCAATTTCTAGAAAAACAAAGGCTGTCAGTAGCCGGGACCTGTCTCTTGCCCTGACCGATCCACATGCCCCAGCAGAATGGGAAGCACATCAGTGGTGCTGATCCCAAACTGGAGCTAACAAGTCCAGTCACGTGAGTTTTTCCAGGAGGGTTACCAGCCGCCCTATGGAGAGCTTATCTCTTCCTGCGCTATTGGAGCTGCCTGCTTGGCAGGGGTGGTTCACACCTTTACTTTTGCCCTCAGTGGATGCCAGGCTGCCTCTGGTGTATTGCAAAGGACATCACAACTTTGACTAAAACTGGCAGTTCCTGTTGTCGTGGCTGCACCATTTGCATTCCCTAGTCCAAGAATGTCCACATGTCTTGGTTTAAAAGAGACTACGGATTCATGTCCTCTTACTTGCATTGTGATTCTATGGTTAACTAGTTTCACTACTGCTACCAATTAATTAATCAATCAATTTCATTCCATTTTTAAGCCGCTACATAACCCAAGTGTTCTACAGGTGGCTCACAAATGCTGAAAGCAGCATATAAATACTATAAATGTGTGCTTTTTAACCTCCTTCCTTCCTTCCTTTCTTCCTGTCTCTTCCTGTCCTGTTTTACAAGCTAAAGTACTGTTTCTGTTCAAATTTATTTTATTTAAAGGAAACCTCATAATTGTCTCCTAAATGTCCTGGATCAGAGCCATTCTTAAAACCTTCAGGAATGATATCTCTGGCCTATGAGATACATTCCAACTGCATACATGATACACAACTTGTAACTTGTGCAGTTCATTTCCCCAAACTTGTGCCTCCAGATGGTTTGGACCACAACTCCTGAACAATGTCCGTGCCAGCTGGGGCTGATGGGAGTCCAGAACATTTGGAGCCTATCAGGTTGGAGAAGGCTGCTGGACGGCCCTGTTGTCTTCGGTTTTCCCAGGTATATTGTACTCTTGTGTAAGTCACAGACACCACGAATGTAACAAAACCAAAAAGAAACATTGTACAATTTAAAGCATTTCCAGGACTAAACAGTGGTTGGATGTTTTTAAATAGTGCCAAGTAATAATCAAAAACCCTTCTCCAATGTCACATTTCTTCAAAGCAACTTTGGAAACAGCACTTATTCAATCTACAAAGGAAAAATAAAAGCAGTTTGTCAAGCACAAATATTCCTCCTCACGAACAGCACTGGCTCGTTTCTGTGAGTTTAACAGAAACTCTCTGCATGTAACAGAGAGACTTGCTCTTGACAGGAATATTCTCATTAACACGCAAAGGAGTTGCAGTGTGTTATACTAATTAAAAAGAACCTCTAACAATTAATAGGCCGCTGCTGAATCCGCAGTCCAGGTAATAGATGGAGGGCACCAGCTAATTCTGCCCCAATTCATTGTGGACCAGTATATGAACAGCACATCAGGCAGGCATTTGGAAGCAGAAAAAAGCAGCAGTGCGATTAGCTATTACTCCAGACTTCTGCAGCTGTCAGATGTGTTGGACATCAGTTGCCCTTGGCATGACTGCAGTTGCAGTCATGCATTTCGCGGGGGCACCAGATTTGGGAAAGAGAGCCAGCATTGCATGGCTTTGTTACATATCGCTAAGGCAATGGCCTGAGATTTTTTTTTCTAATCCAGACAGTGCCCCTCTGACAGTAATAAAATAAAAATAAAATTCCAATGCTAAACTCAAATCAACCTGCTACTGTCTTTGTTGGCAATCCAGACTTTGCCACTTATTTATTTATTTTTATTTATTTATTTTTCAATTTATATCCTGCCTTTTTCCTACAAAGGGCTCGAGGCAGCTTACACCATTCTCCTCCTCCGTTTTATCCCCACAACAACAACCCTGTGAGGTAGGTTGGGCTGAGAGTCTGTGACAGGCCCAAAGTCACCCAGTTGGCTCTATGGCTGAGCGGGGACTAGAACCCAGATCGCCTGAGTCCCAGTCCCATGCTCTTAACCACTACACCACACTGGCTCAGCCACACTTCACTTTTCCTGATCATAGGATGGCCTTACATGGTCCCTGCAGCTGATCGGTGTTAGCATGGGATGCACTGGGCCCTTCCACATGAATTAGGGTGACTTCTCAGGAATATGTCAGAGTGTCAGGCTAAGCAGCCTTTCACATTAGATGGTAAGACCTTGCTGTGGGGAATGGCTGTTGTAGCGAGGTGGTAGAGAATGCAGTCCGTAAACTGTATCTGAAACAGATGCATGGCTACTCAAGACTCATTCTACCCTGGAAATAAACTTTATGGTGAATAACAGCTATGCATGTTGCAGCTGTACCAATATCCATGAAGTCGATAGGGTCCTAAAGCATGTTTTTCCTAATCTATGAATATTATGCATTCCAGTGTAGCTGACTGGATTTATCATCCCTGAAGAACTAAGGAATGTCATCTCTTACATCTGCTGAAGTGTATAAGCTTGTTTCTCTCACTGATTGAATTTATATATGCAAAGTACTTGTGGTTGGTATTAATTATAATTATTGATGAGATACAGCTTTGAGAATGTACCAGTGTAGTAGGATCTCTGGCTGCTCAACTTCCAGAAGTATTGCTGGTGATGAAGAAAACTTATCTTAAGTTTCTGCATTTCTTCCCTGGGAGAGTCCACCCTCTTGTCAGACTGAAGGGCATAGTTTCTTCCTCTTGTCAGGCATAGTAGGTAAGCATGCGGTTTTTTTTTTTTTAATTAAACCATTAAAAAAAATGAAATAATTGCATGTCTGCATTTGTAAGTTTCTGAAGAAAGTTCAAGGTTTTGTTTTCACCTGTAACTTGAATGAGGAGAACATTTTCCTGCTGAAATTTGGCATAAACAGAACAAATATATGGCAATGTTGAAGGTCTACAATACAAGCATCCATACAAAAATTAATCGTGAAAATAAGAGAAATATAAATTGAATCTTTACTAAGGAGCAGAATAAATATTAGCAGGGTTCACATTCAAATAGGAATGCTGCATTTGATATGCTAAATAATGATGCAGCTTGAAACTGAAATTGGGACAATGTATTTAGAGTTCAAACATGGCACACTGCATTGGCCGCACTCTAAACAATGAGTCACAGCAACAAACCTCAGGTTCCACCAGAGACTGGGAGGCCATATGACTTAGAGGCTGTTCCATATACTGACCTAAGTGACAGTCAGCAGCTTTTGTGCTAGAAACAACCCTTTCCAGATCTGGGCACATTCCAGATGCTTCGGACTACAATTCCCATCAACTGCTGCCACCATTGTCCCTGTTTGGGTTGATGGGAATTGTGCAGAGCATCCAGAGGGCGCCAGGTTGGGTCAACTGCTATACATATCGTGCTCCATCAGTTGCAAATGAGATTTGGCAGATTCACAACCGTTTCAGCATGCTTTCTCAGGTTTGGCAACAATGAAAAGTTGATGGGAGTGTGACCTGTACCAGGCTGCATTTATAGATCACAGCTTGCTTTCTTGCATAGTGTGAGACTTTAACATGCTTTTAAGTTTGCGTAATGTTTACTATATTAGGGAGTGATCCTATGATGTCTGCTATGAGCAGGCACAAAATAACACCATGCAAATAATACCATGCATGCTGTTGGCTGTGCTGCTGTTTGCGAAGGTAGAGCAGTTAGCGAATTAATGCTGCTTTCTGGCAACAGAAACAATGTGGTTGCGTCATGAATCATTCAGTTCCGATCTTTTGATTACAGAAGGAAACTTGAAAGTATTTGTGGTGTTACTAAGATGAGTCGTGGTATTAAGCTTCACTGAATAGTGTGTCACCGGCTTGATATAGATGCTTCAAGTGTGCCAATTTCTGGCAGGCCTTGAGCACAAGATAAAATAGCCTGTATATGCAGCAACAATTGACTGAAGAGCTTAGATCACAAATGCAAACTATTGAAATTGCCTGCGGCTCAGTGCTCTTCCAGGGGAGAGTGGAGAATGCTGTTGTTGATTTAACCCAGAAAACATGGAAGAGAGTGAAGGAGGAGTAGATAAGCAGACCACTTTGGATGGGGGTGGGGAAAAAGCCACTAGGCCTATTAACATGTTAAGCATCCAGCGGGGCATGTAGAGGCATCTTATGCAGGATTCACATTTCAGTTACTGGGGTTAAATCTGTGCAAGTGAACTGGATGGAAGCACCAGGTGCAGTCTAGATTCAGACTGGTGATGTTAACTTGAAATTGTAATGGGGGGAGAGAGAGAGAGCTCAGAGGTTGAAAATGAAAGAAATAAAAGCTGACAATTACTGGAAAAGCTGGAATTGTCTCCGCTTCAGAATCCTATGGACAATATAAGAAGTAGGGCATGACTTGAACCTTGGCTTGTATAAATTCACACATGGCTTGTGCAGTTTCCAGTCTTTAGTCCCATTTGGGAAGAGGCGTTATGGAAATCAGGAGCATTATACTTGTGGACTTGGTTCTTGGGTCACATGGATAGCCTGTGTGCAGCAATAGTGAGTGTGTGAAATCCAGTAGAAGGCTACAACATCTGTCTGGGCACATTCTGTAGATAAGGGATGCTTTTGTTGTGAGAATGACACTGTTTGCCTTACTGAAGCAGCTTGGCTGCCCTGTCTCTCAGGAAGCTGGGCGTAGAGCCTTTGTGCACCCTGACAGGCTCTGAAACGGGGGAGAGAAAATCCATGGCAAGAGGCACTGTCTTTTGTTCTCCGGTCTGGGAGAGGCATTGATGTGTTACTAGCCCAGGCAACTTTGAAGGCCCACAGAGCATCCCCAGCATATTCAGGGAACTAATATCGCCACAAAGAGGCAGACGATGAACCTTCTTTTTCCTGTTTGTATTCTGCATTCCTAGCTCATCATTGTCGAGAAAAAAACTGTATATGCCTTGGCATAGATGGTTTCATTTCTTCCTGTGTATCCTTGAATCAAAAGTGAGGTGCCTTGGCTGGATCAGATCCCTAGGGATTAGTAGTAGCTGATCTTTCTTCTAAGATACGTAATGGAGCCTCATTGGTCGTATTTGCATTGTTTTTGCCTGAAATACCTTAGGCCCAATGGGTAGAAGCCAAAGGCATGTGTGATTGAGCTCATCCCACTGTAACACCTCAGCCTGATTATGTTAAACAGAGGGATGGGGGGTCCTGCAGAACATGATCTCTGATGAACCCCAGAATTGGGCAGAGGCACCTCCGCTGAGTGTATCCATTCTACTGGCAGAAGGCAGCCCCTGGATCAAAGCCCTGTTGGTATAGTTTGCCTCTGCAGATTGGAAATGCAGCATCTTTTACATGCAATTTGCAAAATGGGAAGAAGTGACCCAATGTGTTTTCTCTTGCTTATTAATAAACCATTTCCCAGTTCGGGTGGATGCATTCTTTATTTCCAGGTATGATAGTGTTATGCTTCTGTCAAGGAAAAGGGGAACATTTTCCAGATTCAATACACATAGGAAGGACAAATTATCCATCTATAAATGTTTAGAATTTTGTGTTTGTGTTCTCTTCAGCAGAAGTATGTCAGATTTATTCCCCCACTGGCTTGGTTTGTATGTGCTTTTTCCTCAGAAAGGCAAAGCTAAAATCCAGTCTGTTTTGAGAGTACATTTCATTTCCTTCATTTAATTTATGTTATTAAGAAGCACTTTCCTTTTGGGAATGGTAGAGCAGGGTTACTATAATTGTCACCCATCAAGCTGAGCATGGCCCTCCACACCTGTATGCCAGCTTGCCAGTAAATCTGCTTCCATCATGAGCCTGGACATACAAAAGAAAAGGTTTATTGAGCATTGGAGCGGCATTCAGTTTGGCACTTCACCTTTCTCTGTGAAATATTATTGTGATGGCCTTTATTCTAAAAAAGACAAATCTGTATCTGTAACCTTGATAAAAGTTTGGAGCATGAATCATCTCCTGCTTTAAACAATGGATTTAGAATTCACTGCTAGAGAGGAATGGAAGATGTCTTGTGCTAGAGATTCAAATGAGGGCAAAACTGAAAGCTGCCTGATTTTAGATAACGCGTTTCACATGTGGTATAAATTACCTTTGGAAGCAAAGTGAGACTATCACTGGTTCGGAAAGCATCTGAGCAACTGGCTGTCTCTTTTTCTTCTACCAGGGTTCGTAATTTAAGAAGTGTTATAACACGGATGAAATGTTTCTGTAACCTAGCAGTTTAAAAGGATGGAAGGAAAGAAGGAAGGAAAAAAGAAGAAAAGTGTATTTGTGGTTTGGAGGAGACAACCCCACAAAATCAAAAGTTTCTTTAGACTGAGTTCCACCCAAAGGTTGTATTCAGTTCTAACATTACAAGTGGTTAAAAGCTGTGTGCGCAGGAGGGCAAGACATGGATACCAAGATTTCAATTTTCCTTCTGATTAATTTGGCAAATATAACATCTATTGCACATCAAGATAACTGCTACTTGCTGCTATCCAGCTGAAATCCAGCTGGTAGAATGCAGCTGAAATTTGTTGGCAGCAGCTGAGTAATACCCCTGGATGATTAGGGCTCAAAGCAGACTTTTCTGTATCTGCTGGTGATGAGGCAGAGCCAGAAACCAAAGGTAAACATTGTTTACTTCAGAGATATGAACTTGTTTTATACTGCACTGCGATCTGGATCTGGAAGCTCACATGGAGAAACCCAGCCAGACGAAAATGTTGGCCTGAATGGCACCTGGTTGAATAGACATCTGATGTTGCTCTTTATACATGCAAGCTGTGGAGTTAATGTGAAACTCTCCCCAGGTATATCTGTGGTTGAAATGAAATAAGCCTTGCTTGGCTTGGCTTTGAAAAGGACCAGAAGGGCTGGTAGCTGAGAGAATAAAGCTGCCAGTTGCCTTCTCTTTTGCTTAATTTTGATTGCAGAATGCTGAAGCGGCATGATTGCAATGAATAGGGAGACCAAAGAGGCTGCAGCCTCTTGCTCCCAAGGTCTTCAGGGGGCAAGTTGTAATTTTGCTCCCTGCCATGCATTTTTAAGTTGTAGCCTCTTTCCATCTCCATATTAATTTCAGTGGTGACATCACATACATCACACAATCGTGGGAGAGTTCTAAAAAATGAAGATGACATTTAGCCTTGTCTTTCTGTTTGCTCCCCTGTTCACATCAGCCTGATAAGAAGTTGTCTTCTAGGAAGTTAGATCAATGGCCCATCTATCCCATTGTTGTTGACTCTGACTGGCAGGGGCCCTCTAGTGCTTCTGTTTGGAGATACAAGAGATTGAATCTGGGACCTTCTGCATCCAAGGCACCAGGTGCTCTGTCACTGAATGGCAGCCTGGATGGCCCTGCTCTTTCTCTTTGACAGGTGATTGCTCTTCAGTTTGATTGCTCAGCCCTTGAGGAGATCACAGAAACTCCTCCACTGTCAAGGAGAGGCTTAGAAATTCTCTCTGACTGAGGATCTCTGAGTGTTCCTTGTGTGTCTATGTGGGGAATTACCATCCTCTGTTCTTGCACTCCAGTCCTGAAATAATGTCAGAACTGTTTTTGTTGTTATATTTCCCTCACAGCCTCTGAATAACTGCTGATAATGGTGTGTGTGAGTAATTTAGAAACAGCTTTAAGATTCGCTAGGGAGACTTGTTGGGGAGAAAATAAATGTGCTTCTGGGAGATTTTCTGAAATAAAGATGAGCAAATCTGTCAGTTTTGGGTTGTCTCATTGCAAAATTTGAGGGGGAAGTTTGTTTGAAAGTC